AAAAAGATACATTCATCCTCTTTCAAACGCAGCAAAATTCATTTAAATCAGATGACAGATGTCAAAGTTACAGCCATTTCAATAAAAGAAAAAGTGTGCTAATGTTACAAAACAAAAATGGAACAAAGAGCAAATATAAAATTTTGTCTTAAACTTGAAAAAAAATTCGCTGAGACATACGAAATGATGAAAAAAGTTTATGGTGATGATTGTATGAGTCGTACTCAAGTTTATACGTGGTTTACACGATTTAAAAATGGTCGTGAGGATTTAAATGACGACCTAAGGCCAGGTCGTCCAGAAGCTAGTAATCGTGCTGAATTATTGGAAAAAGTCCGTGAAATCATTGGTATCGATGCAAATTTTACTACGAGAATGTTGGCTGAGGAATTAAATACGAGTAAAAACACTATTTTGAGAATTTTAACTGAAGATTTGGGTAAAAGAAAGGTCTGTGCGCGTTTTGTTCCACATGAATTAAATGAGGACCAAAAAATCGCTCGTGTGGAGCATTGCAAAGACATTGTTAAAACTGCTGAAAACGATCCAGACTTTCTTGATTCGATCATAACTGGTGATGAGTCATGGTGCTTTAAATATGACCCTGAAACTAAGCGTCAATCTGCTGAATGGAAGTCCAAAGGCGAGCTAAAACCAAAAAAATTGCGTTTTCAGAAGTCTCGAATCAAGACAATGTTGATTACTTTTTATGATTCGAAGGGTATTGTCCACAAGGAATTTGTTCCAGAAGGTCGAACTGTTAATGGAGAATACTATTTGGGCGTTTTACATCGTTTGTGGAAAAGAATTGGTCGTGTTAGACCTGAATATCCAGCAGGAAAACAGCTGTTTTTACTACACGATAATGCACCACCTCACAAGACCAAAAGAGTTAACGAATTTTTGATGAAAAAACGGATTTCTCTCATCAACCACCCTCCGTATTCGCCTGATTTATCACCATGTGACTATTTCCTATTTCCAAAATTGAAAACCAAGATGAAAGGAGCATTTTATGATGATATCCCAGCCATTCAAGCAGCTGTAACCGAGGTGCTGAAGAACATTCCTATAAATGACATAAAAAAATCTATGCATGCGCTGGTTGATCGTTCCAAACGTTGTATTGAGTCTAATGGAACCTATTTTGAATAAATAATAACTTTCAAAGATAACATAATGTGTATTTTATGCTATATCCAAAAAGTTCGGTTATTTTTGGGACACACTGTGTA